GGTGACGCCCACATAGTGACTAGAGCTCGGCCCCAAGCTGATCTACTTCTCGGCTTCTTAAGCTTATCAGCACATTCCTTTGCCATTCCTCGGCAAGAGTTCATGAGGCACAGGATGACAGCATCATGGCTGCATTTGCTATGTGCGATTTTCTCGATCACAGTCTGCACCGGCATCCGTCCCCCAGCTTGCTCCTCTCCATCCTTGAATATCAGCACAGCCTCGCCGTCTAGAACTTCGCAATGGCCGTTGAAGTTGAAAAGGATGAAATCATGGACCTCAGTGATCTGCTCACAGAAGATGCCAAGGTATTGCTCGAACTTGCTGCAGTCAGCATTTGCGCGCACAAGGCAAGGAAAAGCAGTTTTGGCCAACTCATCAGAGCATCTTGTAGCATCTGCCACTGGATACGGCAACGGCTCTTGGGGATAGTCATTGATCCCAACTGATAGGGCCAGACGCTTACGCATGTCTGCAAGCAACGCCGACCACCGGGCCGAACATGCAGCAATGTCAGCCAAAGTTGCGGCCTTGAAGCATCTTCTGGGGGCTTTGACACAGCAGAGAAGGTGAGCAGATTCGGCGACGGTACAGTGCTTGGGGGGGGGGAAGGTGCCGGATGCGGTTGCTGAGATGAACATGTCATGCCGCTAAAACTCTCACTTGCCAAAGGGCTTCTGATTTCCTGGATAGACCTTATAGAATCACATGGGTATGGATCGATCCCAACATGACGCCCGTCTTGACATCGTAGAGTCAGAATCACACTACCATGGAGGCCCCCAAGCCCTGAATCCCAAAGCCAAACACCCTGGGTGGCTAAGGTGCAGGCAGGGGGGGAGTAACAGAACCCATAAGCCTAGACCCGACAATAGGGGCCGGAATAATTAGAGTAGGGTGTTGGGGGGGGGGGGGGGGGGCGGGGGGGGGGCGTATACTAAGTACTGATGTCAAAAGGGTGGGACCATGAGGGAAAATATTCTTGGAATTCTTCGACCCTAAAGATAGCATAAAGTTGGGCCCCGGCCCGCGGTCGAAGAAGACCAGCCAATGGTAGCCACGGCAAGCAGGAGCTGAAATTGCACCTGAGTGTTCTGGAGAGTTTGGGGTTTAGGGTTTAGGGTTTAGGGTTTGGGGTTTAGGGTTTAGGGTTTGGGGTTTAGGGTTATGAGCGTATCGTCTTCGTCTTCGGGGTTTGGGGTTTAGGGTTTAGGGTTTAGGGTTTAGGGTTTAGGGTTTAGGGCCGAGTTGTGAGGGAGTGTATCAGAACCATAGGGCTTAGAGGGTTTATATGTCAGGTCATTCAGAGCTTGTAGCGTCTTTGGTTTGCAGCGTTTGTAGGGCTTAGGGTTGAGGGGAAATAGTACCCTTTTCTTACTGATCACTGGCATGACAGGGAAACTAACTAGGGAACTATCATCCTAGGATTCTCTACTTTGGGATGCGCTAGCAAGGCGCTCATGAGGTTCAAGGACACGGTTGCTCTATGGACTCTTTCTTTGTTGGCCTAGATGGTAGCCTGAGTTGGGCCAAGCCCTAAAGCCCTAAAACATTAAACCCCCCATTAGCACTGAAAACGCCCTAACCTGAAAGCCCCCAAAATCCCTGAAAGCCCAACCCTAAATCTAAAACTAGTCAAGGACTCCCTTCCCGAAGAGTGCCTCCGCGCTGCATGTGCTGCGACTTTTTGCCGTCAGCTCGGACCGAAACTCGTGTGCCTGCAAAAGCGAGTCGTAGGGGAGAGGAACGGGCTGTGCAAAGGCCTCCGGAAACCTTCGAGCTTTACACTGGTTCCGGTTCCCTTTCTTCTATACAATTCTTCCGCCCATCCTCTCTGAAAGTGAGCTTGATCTCTGACCTCACTGTTCGCCACCAGCTCTCTGGCCGAAGCGGCTTCGTAAGGATATCAGCAAGTTGAGCTCCGGTTGGGATCCAGACTATGCGACCTAGGGTCCTAAGATCTTCGCGGATGCCTGCCAGGTCGATGGCAAGCCTCTTACAGGTAGGTACCCTAGGTACCCCGTCTCGGACGAGGTGATCATACAAACTCCTGCAGTCACTCAGGAAACGGACCTTGAAGCGGGTTCCACCACGTGCCAATTTCCCAGTGAGGATGGTCTCCATGAACTTCACGATGAAGTCCCCCGTCTCGGTGGCAGTACAGCATGCCATGGTTTCTGCCGCAAACGTTGAACGGCAGACTCGGTCGCATGCACCACTCCGCCAGTCGACTATGCTTCCTCTACACGGAACTCCCTCGAGCACTTCCTGATTGGTGAACACATACAGACCGCCCAGCTGCGAAGCGATCGTGGAGTTGGCCTTCTTTGCCTTGGCTTCTCTCCAACTCGTTCCAGGGACATCGATGAGGCCCTTCTGATTTTCGTCGTCGTTCAGCCGATAGAAAGGATCTCCTTGGTCCTGGGGAACGTTAGCCCAGCCAGCGTCGTGGTAGCACAGCAAGACTGCGGCCTCCAGGTTGACTGGGTAGAAGACCAAACCCTGGTCCTTGAACTGAAGGGCTTTGTGAGCGATCGAGTTGGTGAATCTCACATCTCCGATGGTGGGCTGCTTCTGTCTCTGTTGACTCATCGACACTCCAACCTGTAGGTCAGGGCGTGATTGACTGGCCATCCAGGACAATGCCCCGATCAGGGACATGTTGTCGTGTTTCTGGAGCTCTGAAGCCTCGTAGTGGTCGGGATCCTCCTTGTCCACCTCGACCTCGAACAGGCGTGTTCCTGCATAGCTGGCCTGGGAGACTTTAACGGAATCTTCCAGGATCTCGATGAAGGAGCCCACGTAGTCGAACTTCCCGGATTCCCACTCTTTGATAGGAAAGACCGTGCTCAGCTGTTCCTTCACGATGTTGCACACCTCGTCTTGTCCAATCAGGAGTACATCGTCAACATGCACCCCGAGGTATCCGCATGGCTTATCAAGCACTTCAACCCCGAAAGAGTCGACAGCCTTAACCTCTTGGACCATGAAGATGCAGTGATCTAAAGAACATTGAACGATCTTCCACGTCTTGCCGTCCTTCTTGAGCACGAGACTCTGTAGCGTTCGACGCAACTTAGTCCACCATGAGGCCGGACTGTCAACAAGCCCGAAGATCGGTTTCCTGATACGCAGGATTTGTTCCGGATGCAGGTTGCCCAGACCAGTGCGAGGTTGGCGAAGATATAACTCCCTCTTCAGTTCTTCTCCACATAGGAAAGCTGCCGTCACATCGCCAGCATGCCCTGTCCATCCGCAGTGAAGGTTTGAAGCGAGGATTTGTAGGAGGAGATGGATGCCAAGCCTTGATATCGTAGGGGCGTGTGTCGGGAGGCCCTTCATCAGGTCGGGATCTTTGTGTCCACTGATTACCAACCGCGCCTTGTGCTTCCAACCCACATCAGGTTGTTCTCGCCTTCTGCTCCAAAGCTTGTCCCGGTAGGCGAACCTGCTATTGAGCACCCGGTCCCCCTTGTTCTTGGAGATGTCGCGACTTTCCTCGAGGGAAAGTGGAGTCAGCGCGTTGTGCTCGACATGTTCCTCCCACTGTTTTATTTCTGCGTCTTTGAATCCTTGGATTTGATCGCCAGGGATCATGCTCCAGGGGAGTTCCTTCTCCAACGCCTTCTCCTTCGCCCGAGGGGTCTTAGGGAGCTTCAACATGTAGGTGTCATAGGGACTAGGGTCAGATCTTTGAGGGCCTTTGACACGGTGGCGTTTGGCGACAGGAGGAACGTGCTCTTCGGATTGTCTCCTCCTTCCTCCTTCTTCCGGTCTTCCGGAGCTGCTGGGCTCCTCATCTCCTTGGGGAAGCAATGCCTCCGCCTCCACGTCATCCCCGGCGTACATTTCCTCATCAGCGAAATCTTGGTCTAAGAGTCGTTGGAGATCGTCCTGCGTCGTCCTCAGAGCAAAAGCGGCCCCAAGCTCCTCAGCACTTGCCATCCTCAGATGCTCAGGAGCGACAAGGTGGCACCTGCCCGAGAATGAGAGCCAGAAGTTAGGCCCCTCGCGTCCAATCACCACTGCAGGACCATGCCATTCCCAATTCTTGTTGTTCTTCGGCTTGCGGTAGAAGAAGACATGTGCCCCGACTTGGAGCTCAGGCCCAGTGACCCGCGAGCGCTGCAAAAGGGCGCGACGGAACTTGCTGTCATTTTGCGACTTGAAGTAGGCCTCCTTGGCAGCTATCCTCAGGGAGTGCTCTCTAGCTCTCTGTCGATCTCGACTGATGACGTGTTCCACGTGTTCGTCCTGGGGACTATTCTTCAGGAGTTCAGGTAGGTCAGGGTCGCGCCCCCAAACGGCTTGTGACGGACTGAATCCAGTCTCTCTCCTCAGGGTATTCATCGCGGAATTGACTGCAGTGAGGACCATGCCAGCTTCCCCAACGGAGGCTGACTGATCGTCAACCACCCTGCTCCATATCTCTTTCCATGTCCGGATGCATCTCTCAACCGAACCTTGTTGCCAATGAGCTTGCCCAGCGATCGGTCTGATGAAGGTCCCATGCCATTCACTGAAACGTGCCAAGCCCTTCTGCAATCCCGATTCGAGGTCCAGCACCATGGTTCCGGGGGCCCCAAACATATTGCTCCACATGCTGCAGAACGTAGACTCCATCGCGATACCAGAGTGTCCTTGCAATGGAGAGGCGAGAGCGAACCCCGTTCCGAGGTCGATCGACATCATGAGCTCCAGCTTCTCACCCTGGCAATCATAGACAGTGAAGGCATCAACCGCGACAACCTGGTTGAAGTCGAGGAGGTTCGGAAAACTTGCTGGCTTAGCGCTCTTGCCCCTCTTGTTCCTCGAGCAAACCTGGCAGTTGATCTTTTTGCATGCTTCAATCACCGAGGGGTCAGCACCTGCAAGCCGGAGATGCCTCGCAAGGTCGAGGTTGCTGGGATGTCCCATATTCTGATGGAGCCGCCTCAGCGACGACTTCACTTCAGGCGGAATCTTTGTTTCACCCTCGTCCTCAAAGGTGATCGCGCTTGCTCCTTGTACATCTTCCTTCGCCCCGTCCGGAGGTTCCAATTGGTTCTCGACGGTGTAGGTCTCGGACAGATAAACGACGAGCTCCTTTATGTCTTCGTGGTCAGGCTCGAGGAAGGCCCAATTGGTGTGGTTGAAACGAAGAAGGTCTGGTTCATCAACATGGACATCGTACAGCCCATCATACTTGTCGTAGAGCTCGATCATGTCATTGTGGGTCCAGAAAGGATCGTCGGGGTCAGCTTCAAACACCACCTTCCTCCCGAGGTCGATGTAGCGGTGGACACTGTCTGCGAACTTGGAGAACAGGTGTGAAATCTCCCTGCCATGGATCCAGAGGACTGCGGGGCTGAACTCCTCAAGGGTCTCCTCAATGACCTTGACCTGGGTCTCGTCATTTTCTTCTGCGATGAAAGGTTCTGCCGTGAGGAAACCCATCTCAGCGACCTCGATCGATTTCGAGTAACCTCCAATCTCGTAGAGGCTCACGCCAAAGCTCCCTCTGGAGATGGGAAAAATGCTCTGACTCCAATTGACAGCTGCGAGGGTGCACCAACTGGTGAGAGCTGCCAATCGCGTGGCGCTCTTCCAAAGTGCTTTCCGAGTACTCTTCTTGGGCCTCGTCGTCATGGAGAAACTCGGGCCATCCTCAGGTTCACTTCGTTGAGGGACAGGGAGACCACGTAAAGGAAAGCGAAGATCCCGAAGTTGGTCACGGAGTCCGACGTCGCCTCGACTGTATCCCCTCGTGGCAAAGCAGGAGAGGGTCCAGCGCTCTCCACTCCAAGGTTGGGTTGCGTGCTTTGTCTTCCCGTCGAAGGAGACAGGTTTCATCCTCGTACGAACAAGATGTCCTTCGTGGAGGTTGCCCTGGGCGTCTTCTCGAACCACACATCCATTCCTTCCTTCCTCATGACTCTTTCCTTCAATCCAAAGTTCGCCTCCGGAAAAGGGTCCGAAGGTCACTGTAGTCACCAAGGAGTTGGGAAGGTTGTGCACATCGGAGTGAATCTGCGTAGCGGCATTTTTGAAAAGGACGAAAGACGTCCATTCCCCTTTTGTCTTTGATCGCATGAAGGAGTTCACGTATCTTGTGGTCCAAGGAAGGCGCCTGCTGTCCCGGGAAATTCCAGTGAACTTGCCGTAGGTGTACATGCCCCCAAGGTAGACCCCGTAGACCTCATTTCCTCCTCGATTCGTGGGCTTCTTGGACTGAGGGTACCTTAAAGGGATCTCCTTCGCGACCTCCAGAAGATCGTCGTAGTCGAACGCCTTGTTCATGAGCTTCTGCTTCGCGAGGCGGTCACATCTCTCGCATTGTTCTTTGATGGTGACCTTAGCAACCTTCTCGGTCGTGAACGCCTCGGACTCGTCTGCCATAGAGGGCTTACCAGGGCGTCCAGCCCCCTCGCCTCCACAGCTTATATCTTCGATCCCCTCCAGAATGACATAGTCGTCGAGGAAGTCGTCGTGGTTCTCTGCTTCTTGATCTCCCTCGTCTTCATCTTGAGATCTGACATCGTTGCCCTCCAAACACTCATGGAACTCCTCGTCGTCCACTTCGTCGGGGTGTTTCTCTTCTCCACTCACATTCCATCGGGGGTCCTGGGGTTTAGACCATGGCGATCGCGTAGGATGGCTAGGCGCTCCTCCAGATGCATCATCTCGTCCTGGATCTCGGTCGGAATGTCCTGGTCCATCCGGCTGGGGGTAGAGCTCGCCACGGATCCCGGTCCCCGTCGTCTGGGGGGTGTCTTCACTGGGGGTCCCGAGAGTGCTCCCTTCGGCTTCGGAACGCTTCCCGGGTAGCTGCTCCGTGTCGCCAGGACTGCCCATGATCCCGAACTGCTCGTGTCCTCGACATAGGGAATGGTCGCGTTCTCCTCGGGGTCGGGTATCGGGTTTTCCCCTTCCAATCTCCCGTCGTTCCACCGGTGTTGCTCCGCTTTCCACCAATTCGCGAACATCACGAGGTCCTCCGACGGGTTGTCGCTGCTCTCCACCTCCAGTAGCGCCCAAGCCCTGTAGCTCAACGGGGTGTCCTTGTACATGTTCCCTTTGAAGCGTCCGAAGTTCAGGAGGCTTTGAGGGCCCTGTCCATTTTGCCCCCGAAGAATGCGCATGATCGCCCCCCTGGTCGGATAAGCCGGCAGAAGATAACCCGCTTCCATGGCCCGGTTCTTCAACTGCTCGAGGGTCAGGTTCTGCATGCCGTGGATGTTCTCGTCGGTCCCGCGCGCCCGGTCCTCTTGGATTGCCGACTTGATCTCTGCCGGGGTCCATCTCTCGTGCACCTGAAGGGTCCTGGCCGCCGCTTCCGCCAAAAGCTCCGCCTTGGTGAACTCCGAGAGGTTCTTGGGCCGGTTCAGCATCGGCCTCGTGAAGAGATCCCGTCGGCTCATGGCAGGCGGGCGAGAGCGGTGATGGTAATGAGGGCATGTGTCTCTTGCGAGTGAACACACTCCGGCCGACCCACAGCATCGGAAAAGCACTGTTGTCTTGCATCCTGTCCCAAGTTCCATGCACAGTAGGGAAAGCACGGTGGCTCTTACAAGCTATGCCATGGATGGACCGAACCGCCCCGAGGCTCTTGAGGAGAAGTTCTTTATGCCGAAGATTCTGTGTAGCCCAATGCAAAGGATTGAAAAAGGAGCGCCTAGGGATTACATGTACCCTGATCAGGTAGTCGGCATCCTCAATCCAGAAGTCATTGGAGATGTTGCTGCTACTCCACCAACTGGCAAAGGTTTCGGGGGAAAAACTCTCGTCAAGGAGCATGTTCTTAATGGCGGCACCAACCTTTTTGGGGAAGAACAAAGGTTCGTAGTCCCTATCTGAGATAGGAGGTGTAGATGTTGGGGAAGAGGCAGAGCGACTAGACACTGCGACCTCCTCTGAAACCACCACCCAGCTAGTCGAGCAAGGTTCCAAGTCAACTTCAACCTCACCAAGAACTCCTTGATCGCCGGGAAAACCGCAACCTCCCACGCCCCCATAACTTGCGTTCGGCATATATCGCATAGAAGGCGAAAGGATCTGAAGCTCATTGTCTTCCCACCGCGAGCTGTTCGCAAGGTGGGGCTGGACAGGAACTGGCTCGATAGGAAAAGCCGGATGCCCCGTGTCTGTCACGGAGAGCTGCATGTCATGAACCTCTAAAGCTTTGAAGGTGGCTCGGTTCTCACCGACATCGATGATCATCCCCATCTTGGCCATGGCTCCTCGCGAAATGAGGAGGGGCACGTCCCCATTCACCACGGCGACCTTCAGCACCACCTGATGAGAGCCGAGCTTGAATCCCACGAGCACCCCGTAGTTCGCCATGAAGATCTTTGACGCGCCAAACTTGAAAGCCTCCTTGCATGAAAGGAATTGGGGTTCGCCTCCTCGTTGTCTGACTTCCGCGAGGTAACCGTCCATCCATCCGCATCCTGCGACTGACCTTGCACACGCGGTGTCCGTAATCCCGACAAGCCCTTTGCCGACACGATCTCCAATGTCCCATGTCACGTGGACGACGTGGCAAGGAAAGTTGGCCTTGGTTGAGTCCCTTGTCGCATGCCCGCCAGCACCACCCGAAGTTCCCGAAGTCGCCGTCGTCGAGGTAGTGGTGTTGCCCTGATTGTTGCGATTCAGAGGACACACGCTGTCAAGATGCCAGTGACCTCTTCGTTTACACGCAGAGCAGAAACTGCGGGCTTTGGCGGCTTGAAGCTTCTCTGCAGCAAGACGTTTGAGGCTTTCTGCATCACTCCCTCTGAGCTTTGCCGTCTCTCTGTATCGTTGCTTTGCGCTTTCGTGTGTGAGGTAGGCCTGGTAGAGCTCGCTAGCGACTTCTTCAGGTACGGTGTCCAGGTCTTCCTCGTGATCAACATCATGGTCCTCATGGGAGAAAGGCTCCTCGAAGTCAGCAACGTTGGCGCTAAATGGTTTCCGGTTGGGCCATTCCTTCTTCGTGTTCTTCGTGGTGGTCTCCCATGGTTTCCTCATTCCCCTGTCGTGAACTATGGCTGCCTGCTGCAAATCCTTGAGGACGTACTTGTTGCCCACCGAGGCCAAAAGGTTCAGCTCCGCCTGCTCCTCTAGCCCCATCCTGTCCACGAAGACCCAAGCTGCAGCCATATCGGGAAGCTGACACCCCGCTTCAGCGAGCCTTGCGAAGGCTCGATCAAACTCCGCCATGTAGTCCCGAACCGACTGTGTGGGTTTGCGGCGGAGCTTTCGAAAGAACTCGGAGAGACTCCGCCCCACTTGGGTGATCTGAACGTCCAAGTAGCGGTCCTGCACCCAGCTGATCAGGTAGTCGACGCCCTCGCTGCTGCCAAGACGGTTCACGTCGAGTCGTTCCGCGTCCACCCATGCCCGGTCGGTGAGGTGTTGGTACAAGGTGAGGCCCTGCTGGTCCTTGGACATTCTCGTCATCCTCCGCCACGCCGCAATCTGCCTCAGATATGAACGTGCGGAAGTCCCGATGTCCTCTGTGCCTCCATCAGTGTTCCCGGCGAAGGTCGGCACGATCATGCGTTCCGAAGGACCCCGAGATGCGTCTGGAGCTCCTCTACGTGCACCGTCAAAAGGACCGCCTCGCCCCTCTGTAGAAGGTCCCCAACCGTCAGGAGGATCACGGCCATCGTCTCGTGAGTAGTGAGCATCACTGCAGGAATCTCGCCTTCCCCAAGGGTCCGAGAAGGACTCCTTTGATTCACGATCATGCCCAACTCCATCGCCTGATCCCACGGACCCAGTCGAGGTGGACTCCCAAGTCTTGCCCTTCTTCTTCGCATCGTAGCCATCGCGGCGGTTCGAGTCACGAGCCCATCCCGATCGACTCCACCACCCGTCGCCACCATCCCAGGAACGATTCCAAGGGCCGGTCGTCCATCCATCGTCTTGCCACGAGCCCCAATCGGCCCATTCTGATTTGCTTTCACGAGTCTCCCTGTGAACATCATCATGAGGGACCCGATCACCATCGTGAGGGCGAGTCGCATCACCGCCATCACCCTGATCTTGCGGAGAAACATCACCCGGTGCCGGTTCACCGCCCCGACTCGTACTCGCATAGAAACTAGTGGCCGGCACACCCGAAGCCATAGCGAAGCTAGCAGGCCAACGGAAACCCTGGAGCACACGGGCTCCGCTACCAATCTAAAACTAGTCAAGGACTCCCTTCCCGAAGAGTGCCTCCGCGCTGCATGTGCTGCGACTTTTTGCCGTCAGCTCGGACCGAAACTCGTGTGCCTGCAAAAGCGAGTCGTAGGGGAGAGGAACGGGCTGTGCAAAGGCCTCCGGAAACCTTCGAGCTTTACACTAAACCCTAGAACCCTAGAACCCTAGAACCCTAGAACCCTAAAACCCTAAAACCCTAAAACCCTAAAACCCTAAAACCCTAAAACCCTAAAACCCTAAAACCCTAAAACCCTAAAACCCTAAAACACTAAAACCCTAAAACCCTAAAACCCTAAAACCCTAAAACCCTAAAACCCTAAAACCCTAAAACCCTAAAACCCTAAAACCCTAAAACCCCTAAAACCCTAAAACCCTAACACCCTAACACCCTAAAAACCCTAAAACCCTAAAACTCAGAATCCCCAAAAACCAAACCCCAAACCCCAAACCCCAAACCCTAAACCCTAAACCCTAAACCCTAGCCCTAAACCCTAACCCTGAAATCTAAACCCTAAATCCTAAACCCTAAAACCCTAAAACCCTAAAACCCACCAGAATCCCCAAACCGCCCTCATCCCCAAACTCGGCGCTCTACTTGTCTGTGTCGGCTAGGGCACCCCAGGTTGGCTGCTATCCCTAAACCCTAGACCCTAAACCCTAGACCCTGAACCCTACACCCTACACCCTAAACCCTAAACCCTAAACCCTAAACCCTAAACCCTAAACCCTAAACCCTAAACCCTAAACCCTAACCCTACACCCTAAACCCTAAACCCTAAATCCTAAACCCTAGGGTTTAGGGAGCTTAGGAGCGAACTGGGGCTCAGGGTTTGAGGGTTTGGGAGTTAGCGGTTAGGATTCGTAGGGGTTTGGGGTTAAGGGTTTAAACGTGAGGGTTTAGGGTTTAGGGTTTAGGGTTTAGGGCTTAGGGCTTAGGGCTTAGGGTTTAGGGTTGAGGTTTGAAGCGGTGCCCTCTGAAGGCGTGGCACGCTTCGGAGCTTTAAGCCTCGAGTTCTATGCCTGGGCATTAGGCTCTACGGTTCCCTTAAACCCCAAATCCTAGACCCTGGGCACGGTTTAGGGTTTAGGGTTTGGGGTTTAGGGTTTAGGGTTTAGGGTTTAGGGTTTAGGGTGTAGGGTTGAGGTATGAGGGTTGAGGGTTTAGGGTTTAGGGTTTAGGGTTTAGGGTTTAGGGTTGAGGAACTCCGCCAACTATGCCTCACCATAAGAAAGCAAAGCAACAGCAAGATCCAACTAAACCCTAAACCCTAGATCCCTAAACCCTTAACTCCTCGGCTCTCAGGCTTCAGGGTGTAGGATTTAGGGTTTAGGGTTTAGGGCTAGGGTTTAGGGTTTAGGGTTTAGGGTTTAGGGTTTAGGGTTTAGGGTTTAGGGTTTAGGGTTTAGGGTTTAGGGTTGAGGGTTTAGGGTTTAGGGTTTAGGGTTTAGGGTTTAGGGTTTAGGGTTTAGGGTTTAGGGTTTAGGGTTTAGGGTTTAGGGTTTAGGGTTTAGGGTTGGGAACTCCCCGAAGCTGCAGCAACCGTCCGGCCAGGAAGCTATCCCGGTTAGCCCATAGGACTCGAGTACATCGTCGAGGTTGGCCTGAAAGTAGTTCCTGGGCTCTTTTAGGGTTTAAAGGGTTTAGGATTTAGGGTTTAGGGATTCGGGTTTAGGGTTTGGGGTTTAGGGCTTGGGGTTTAGGGTTCCTGGGCCTCCCTGATTATACGACCCGAAACCAACCCTGCCTTTTAAACCCTATTCCGAATGGGGGGGGGGGGGGTTCAGAGCCTCAAAAACCTCCACCTCCAAGCCAATCTACACCCTATCCCAAAAGATGGCATATGGATAAAAACATTCCCCCAATGTAAAACACATGCCGAGTTTCTTTTGGGGAAGTGGCGGGGGGCCGCCTATTTCATAAGGGGGAAACGATTAGGGGCTTTAGGGGAGTTGAGGGGGATCAGGAGGTCCAGGGCCTTTAGGGCGGGGGTTTTGGGTTTGGAGTTGCACCACACCACCTACAAGCCCTTACGGATTTAGGGCTTAGTGTTTGGGGTTTAGAGTCAGAAGAGGCGAGCTCGCCATCTCATACATGCCTACCTATCTACCTGCCTGCTCACTTACCTACCTCTCTGTGTGTGCTTCCGCCCTTTCCGCTGCATTTCCCCTGGGCACCGTCCATGTCTTGCTCAGTTTAGGGTTTAGTAGGGTTTAGGGTTTAGGGTTTAGGGTCTAGGGTCTAGGGTCTAGGGTTTAGGGTTTAGGGTTTAGGGTTTAGGGTTTACGGTTTAGGGTTTAGTTGCGAACCCTACCAAGAGCATGCTAAATCTTTTGGCATTCCCCCACACCCTCACCCCACTTCTTGCTGGGTTTGGGGTGTGCAGGTCTTTTCAGTACCCTAAACCTTCAAACCCCCATGCGCCCG